TGGGCCCACAGGACCCCCAGGAAGGAGTGTGCTCTGTGGTGAGTGGTCATTACGGCCTTAACAATTATTATTATTTGAAAAGAGGTTTCACTCTGTTGCTCAAGCTGGTCTTAAACTCCTGAGTTCAAATGATTCTCCCACCTCAGTGTTCCAAAGTGTTGGGATTACAGACATGAGCCACCACGGGCCAGGCCCTTTAACAACTGATAACACACTTGGCTGCCCCAGAAGCAACTGCAGACATTAGAGGGCGCATGGTAATATGTATAAATAATGCTGACCTATCTCTAAAAGACTTTTTTTTTTTTTTTTTTGAGACGGAGTTTCGCTCTTGTTACCCAGGCTGGAGTGCAATGGCGCGATCTCGGCTCACCGCAACCTCCGCCTCCTGGGTTCAGGCAATTCTCCTGCCTCAGCCTCCTGAGTAGCTGGGATTACAGGCACGCGCCACCATGCCCAGCTAATTTTTTGTATTTTTAGTAGAGACGGGGTTTCACCATGTTGACCAGGATGGTCTCGATCTCTCGACCTCGTGATCCACCCGCCTCGGCCTCCCAAAGTGCTGGGATTACAGGCTTGAGCCACCGCGCCCGGCCTCTAAAAGACTTTTCAACAAGTTTTTTTTTTTTTTCTCTCTTGAGATGGAGTCTCGTTCTGTAGCCCAGGCTGGAGTGCAGTGGTGTGATCTCGGCTCACTGCAACCTCCGCCTCCCAGGCCCCTGTTCAAGCAATTCTCCTACCTCAGCCTCCCAAATAGCTGGGATTACAGGCATGAGCCACCATGCCCACCTAATTTTTGTATTTTTTAGTAGAGACAGGGTTTCACCCTGTTGGCCAGTCTGATCTTGAACTCCTGACCTTGTGATCCTCCTGCCTCGGCCTCCCAAAGTGCTGGGATTACAGGTGTGAGCCACCAGGCGGCATCCACACCCCCTGCAGCCCCTAAGGCCCGGCTACACCCACATCAGCACGAAGGGCATCCAGGAGGAGCCACCCCTTCCCTCTCACCAGGCTTGGGATGCTCCCACCCACCCCGAGCCTCAGGGCTTGGTTTTGGCTTTCTCCCCTCTCTTGCTGCCTGGCACGCGACAGGGACATTCTGCAGGGACTCGTGTGGTGGTGTCTGTGGTGCACGGCAACCATCAGCTGAGCACAACTGAGTAAAGATGGCTGCCCACCACGTACACGCCAGCAGGAAGTCCCCAGCCTGCAGCCCACTCTGGCCACGGCTCCCCTCCTGGGTACTGCCGGCCCCTGTCATAGTCTCCTGGGCACCCCAGCCTTTCCGGCCATGGTCCAGGCGCCATGTGGGGCAGACTGTACACAGGCAGCTTGTGCAGGCAGCCTCTGCGTGGTGCCAGGAGGAAGCTGGACAGCCAAGCTCCCATGCTCCATGCATGTGGTATTTCAGGCTCTGATGCTGGTTTCCATATAGGTGGACATCTCCAAGTTATCGAAGAGAAAGCCCAAAGAGAAAATGGCTTCACTGGCTGGGGTAAGATCCTGACAGATTCCTTCCCTGGGTCTCGCCTCACCTGCCACACCATAGGGCCCCCAGGCAGACCTGGGCCACCCTCCCTGGCACTCAGGCACAGCAGCTGCCGGGCTGTAGATCCCCGGGTTCAGCAAGCCCCATGCTGTGTCTGCTGGCTCTTCCGGCCATGGGCGGCACTCCCGTGGTCCAGGGAGGGAGGCACCAGAGCCTTCAGCATCTTACTCTCAAGAGAGGGACAGAGAACCGTCCAGAGGGACTGGGGACACCAAAGGGATGCATGACAATCTCGGCTTCCAGTTTCCCAAGGCTGTCCCTCTTTAAAACCAAATCTAAGCTCGACCAGCACTTCAAAGCCTCTGCACCGGGAGGTGTTTGCTCAGACGGCCCAGCCTGGCTCTGCTCCCCTAGACAGCCAGGGATTCAGGCCACAACTGGTTAACTCGGCGGGCGAATTCGAGCCCGCAGCGGTGCTGGCTGACTGTCTTCACTCAGCGCTGTAATCGGCACATCTGCAGACAGGAAATCCTCCTCGCTGAAGTTCCCAGTCTATTATCTGAGACACCTGGTGTGGGCGGGTGATTCAGAGACAAACAATGAGCAGGGGCCCCCTGCACAGCAATTAACTGCTTTAACTGCTAATGTGTTTAATCCACCACGTGGAGATCAAGGCTGCGTCGAGGAAGGGCTCGGTCCGACTCGGCTTCCAGACGGCAGGGCCCACTTCACGATGTCTATGTCTATGGTCCTTGCCAGCTGCGGCCAGGTGCCAGGAACACAGGCAGCGGGCAGGGCCAGCACTCGGCCCCGCACAGGAGCTCTGTGAACACCTGAGCCCCTTCTGCGTGTGTGTACACCGGGCACGGGGGGCATCCTCCCTTCCTGCCGGAGCACAGATCGTGTGCGCACGGTCCACACCTGGGACAGGAAGCGGAGTCGGAGATGTTGGCATTGCCAGCTGTGCAGCCCCAAGGGCGCTTGATTTTAGCCTCCCAGAGTGGATCTTCCTTTATTGCAAGTAGAAATACAGCTTGGTTAAAGGCTTATTGTACAAACCAGCAGAAAACACTTGCATTTGCTGACCTGGGAAGTGGCTCCTGAATGTTTACAAAACCTGGCTCTGAGCAGCAGCGAAGTCAGCACATGCCCGAGCGGCCCCCAGCAGGCGCGCAGAAGCCGGGCCGCCCTCGGGAAGCAGGGTCAGAGGCCAAGGACTGCGAAAAGCTTCCACCCCCAGCATCAATCACGCCAGGCAGAATGTCTGGGGGATGCTCATTTTGAAAATACAAAAAAATAAAACAGACTCCCAGCAAGGGCAGATGGGCGTGCAGGCCACGGCAGCTCTGCCAACCAGGGAGGGGCCTTGCTTGTTGCCTGCCAGGCCGACACCCGGGCTTTCTGGGGACACAGCCCTGGCCCGCTGGGCTGCCGCATCCCTAGAGGCTCAGCCGAGGGCTGCCCCTCGGTTCGATGGCAAGAGCTCCCTATGCCGTGGGTGAACGGAGATGTCAGCGGACAGAGGGGGAGAGCTAGGGCCCGGTGGGAGGGAGAAACTCACCATCTCCCCTTCAGAGTGGAGTTTATTTGGGAATGATAGTAAGAGGATACATTTTGAAAGAAAAATAAAGTAGAATTTATGATGAGAATCAGCAGTACACTTTGGGGTCCAAAATGTAACCTAATTCTTCATAGTGTTCCTCATCATAAACTTACTTAAATCTTACTCTTACAACGTGACAGAGCATTACTTTTGCTGACTGATCCCCTCTGGGCCAAGAGCCCCACGTCACAGGCCCTCCCCGGCCGCCAGCTCCACGCTTGTGCCCACGGCACGGAAGTGAAGGCGCGGCTGCTCGAGGCTGGTTTCCTTTCTGATTTCCCATTCCGAGTGACTGCTTCAGAAGTGCATCACCCTGTGACGCAGCTTGTGCCCCCGGGAGCCCTCCCCCCAGGAGACACCTCGGTTCCAGCTCCCCCTCCCCAGCCCCCTCAGAGAGCCCAGCCCAGACCCGCGTCCACACTCCCCCAGCCGCATCCACACTCCCCACACCGGCTCGGCCTCTGCCCCACGCAAAATCGGACCCACACCTGACAGAGAGCAAGAAGGTGAGACCAGACTGTGCCTGGCCGGTGGCAGCCAGCCCACGCCAGGCCAACAAAGGCCCAGGCCACTGCCCAGTGCTGGACGGGTGGTGGTATCTTTGGACGCCTTCGAAATGTGACTTCTGGCAACGCCCGTGAGATGCCTCTCCTGGCACGTGATGACCTACGAGGCCCAAAGGGACCCACTGGGAAATACTGAAAGCCACAAGAAGGCTGGGCAGAACTTTAAAAAGCCTGCATCATTTTTATGTGCTGAAAACAGCCGGCTTGTGCACACTCATGTTCACAGCAGCATGATCCACGACAGCCAAAGACAGAAGCCACCTCAGTATCCACTGACAGATGATGGACACACATACAGCTCGGCCTTCAACAGGAAGGAAGTGCTGGCACCGGGCACACAAACGGCAGCCCGGTAACGGATGCTGCGGCATGCGCTCGGCTTGAAATGTTGCGCTAAGAGAAATGAGCCAGTCACGAAAGGACAAGCTGCGTGATCCCACCGACGTGCATCGAGACAGACAGCGGAAGGGTGAGTGCCAGGCACAGTGGGGACAGAGGGTTTAATGGGGCCAGAGCTCAGCTGGAGCTAATGGAGAAGTTCTAGAGATGGGTGATCGTGCTGGCTGTCCAGTGTGAATGTACTTAACATTAACACCCCTGAACTACATACTTTAAAATGCTTACGATGATGAATTTTATGTTATATATATGTTACTGTAATTCTTCAAGCTTTCAAATCTGTATCATTTTTATGTTAAAAACAACAAACCAGCTTGGCTGGGCGCAGTAGCTCAAACCTGTAATCCCAGCACTTGGAAGGCGGAGATGGGAGGATGGGACTGAGCCTGGGAGGTCGAGGCTGCAGTAGGCTATGATCACACCACTGCACTCCTCCTGGGCAAGAGACACACCCTGCCTCAAAACAAAACTAAACAAAAACACCTCGTTTGAAAGCCTGAAGCAGCAAAACATTTAATATGCTAAAGAAAAAATCTATACCAAGGTTTAAACCTGGAAGGCGACGTGCAGGATTTATGTGCTGAAACCTTAAGAAGCAATCTGCCCAGGGCCAGGGCAGGCCAGGACTGCCCAGCCACTCCCTGATGAGGACACCTGGCTGCTGCCGTCTGTCTCGTCTCTGGTTTTTCCAGCATGTCTCACGGTGGTGGGGAGACACGCAGAAACTCGAGGTGCTGGGGACAGCAAGATGGGCCCAGCCCAGCGTGGGTGCCACCCCACAGGCCTTCACGGTGGCCTTTAAGGTACCCTGGGGAGCAGCCAACGCACCGGGTGACCAGCAGGATCAGGGAGCCCTGGGAGGTGGTGACAGGAAGTGAGGCGAAGATTCTCCACGTGCCTCGAGGAGACCAGAGACACAGCGTGTGGCTCGACGCACCCTTACCTACGGCCCACAGGACGGTGCTGAAGGTGCCCGTGCCCTCCTTGCCAGTGGTGCAGTCCTCCCAGGTGACCTGCAGCTGGCCGTCCGGGAGCCTCCTGACTTGGGAGGGGGTGCACCCCCTCAGGAACCGGGTGCCGTGAGATGCCATGTGCTCCGTGACCAAGGAGGACATTTGCTGCAAAGCACAAGAGGATGGGCCATGAAGACCAGGTGACCGTGGGAGAGGCCCTGGCTCTGGCCCTGCCTCAGGGAGGGGCTGAGAGGCGTCTGTGCAGAAGACAGGGTGACAGCCAGCCCCCTGCTCCATACCCTCTTGCTCTCCGTGGAGTGTCTGGCCCCCTCCTGGCTGCAAGTCCTCAGACCCTGGGCCCTGTGGTCAGGACTCACTTGGCCTGTGGGCTCCTCTCTAGACACTAATTAACTAAGTCTTCATCAGCCAGATACGGCCACCCCTATCATCCCAACACTTTGGGAGGCTGAGGTGGGAGGACCCCTCAAGCCCAGGAGTTAGAGGTTGCAGTGAACCGTGATCACGCCACTGCACCCCAGCCTGGGCAACAGAGCAAGACCCTATCTCTAAAAGAAAATGGGCCCCGGCTCCTGGTCCACCCCTCCACATGTGGCCAGCCTTGCCCCTCTGCCATCCAAGAGCCAGGAGGGTAGGGAGGAGACTCCGCTGCCACCTAGAAATGTAGGCATAGCAGGCTCAGGTCAGGCTGGGGACAGAGAGGGTCCCGTTTCTCCCTCCCAGCCCAGAAGGCCTGTGCAGCTCCAGTCCAGCTGCAGATGGGGCCCCATTCCCCAGGACAATGGGGCCTTGCGCGGGCCAGCACTGAGGTTGGCCACGGCTTCTGGTTTCAAGAGGAGATAAACAGTCACTGCTGACATCCTCTGACACCTGTCCGGGTGCGCCAGCTGGCTCTAGATGGCGTGTGGGAGTCTGGCCCGCCGGGCAGGGCTGTTTCTACTAGAGAGGGGCTGCCACACAGGCTGTTCATCCCTCCTGCGCCCCTCCAGAGGCCTGGCGGGCTTGGCCATCCCGGGCTCTGAGAGGAACCACAGGACACAGGGCCCATAGCCCCTCGGCCTGGATACCCAGACTGTGCGTCGTCCTTGCCTGGGCACGCCCCATCCCGCAGGCCCCTTCCCTCCTCTGTCCACTGCCACCTCACCCTCCCCCCATCTCAAGGCTCCAAGGCCTTCCCAGACACTGCGTCCCAACCACAGGGCTCAGTGGGTCTGCAGTGAGGGACGGTGGGCGTGTGCCACAGCCTGAGGATGAAGAATCACACAGCCACACAGGCGGAGGGACACGTCTCCGAGTTAGCCTGGGGGTGGCGCTGGGAGTCTGGAGATGACAGGCCCGGCTCCTCCCACCTCAGGTGACCGCCTCAGGCTCTGGGGGCTGAGGGTCAGAGAGGACCTGAGTGGGGCCCGCAGATCCGCACGGCGCGCCCTGCAAGGGGCCTCCTTTGTGGCCGCCATGGAGGGTTTAATGTCTCCACAATGACAACTCCAGACTTCGATTTTTAATAAGAGACTTTTCCTTGAAGAGCTTTTTGTCAAAAAAAAAAAAAGAAAAAATCTCCATTGCTCCAAGCTAGGAGCTGGTCCTGCTGGCCACACGAGCGAGTGCACCCCAGACACAGACGGGGGCCACTGTACACGGAGCACCTGTCCCCACAGGCTCTCTTGGAGCCAGCGCTGTCCTGTGCCCCTCACCCCGGCTCACACATTACAGCTTCTTCCACTCCCATGCCACCAGAGGGGACAGGCAAGGGACAGCAGGGAGTTGGGGGGTCTCTGAGGTGGGCTAACACTTCTGCGGCACACACCCACCTCTCCCTAATGGGACCATCTGGAGGGTGACCCAATCTGCCGGCACAAGGCTGCGCTGAGCCTCCCTTCGCGGTCCCTGCAGTCGGCCGGAGGCCTCGCGCAGCTGTGTGTCCCACCGCCACCCTCCGCCCTCGCTCCGGCCAGGGGTTTACATATTTTCTGGACAACCTCCTCACCCAAGTCCGACGCTATCGCTAAAGATTCAGGCGTCACTTGTGGCCCACGGCTGCACTGCGCCCGCCTGGGAGGGGCCTGTGGGAGGAAGGGCCACAGGGCCACAGGGCCACAGAGCCACAGAGCCACAGGGCCACAGGGCGGGAGCGGGGGCCGCTGGCGCTACCTGGTCGAAGCCGCGGAGGGGGATGCTTCGCATCATGACTGTGGTGTCCAGCCCGAGCCCGGTGAGGAAGCCAGCACACTCCAGGGCCACGTCTGCAGCGCCGGCTAAGGAACACGGCAGATCTAACTTTGGAAGCAAGGAGACGACACCCCGGGGCCCTGTGCTGCAGCCCACGCCCCACCCATCCATGGCTGGCCCCGGAGGGGGCTCCCAACTCAAGACCCCTACCTCCACATCTCAAGGGCATGGGCTGGGGTTAGCAAGGAGCCCCCCACAGACTCGCTGCGCCCATGGGGTGTCGGACCGAGCTGGGTCCGCGCAGCCTCCAGGGCGAGGCCGGCATCCCAGGGGACCCCAGCTCAGGGAGGGCCTTGGCCGTGGGAGATGCCAGGCGGCTGCCTTCTTCCCCGCGCTCCCAGCCAGCAGCTTGGGGCTCTCTTTTTTTTGAGATGGAGTCTCACTCTGCTTCCCAGGCTGGAGTGCAGTGGTACAATCTCAGCTCACTGCAACCTCCGCCTGCCTGGTTCAAGCAATTCTCTTGCCTCAGCCTCTCAGGTAGCTGGGATTGCAGGCATGCACCACCAGACACGGCTAATGCTTTTATTTTTAGTAGAGAAAGGGTTTCACTATGTCAGCCAGGCTGGTCTCAAACTCCTGACCTCAGGTAATCCACCCGCCTTGGCCTCCCAAAGTGCTGGGATTACAGGCATGAGTCACAACACCCGGCCGGGGGCTTTCCTCTCCCTGAGACAGCCCCTCGACCCCAGGCCCTGCTGCGGCTCCTCTCCTGACCCTCCCTGTCTGACTGTCCCTTCTGAAGGAATGGGTCCAGGCTGGGGTTGCTCTCGAGGGAGGATGGCCCAGCTGCCTCATGGCCATGTCCAGCTGTCCCGGCTGTCTCAGTGCCCGGCTCAGGAAGAGCCTCCGGGAATCCCTGGCCAGAGGTCAGCTTCAAACTGTCCCCCGGCACAGGTCCTCCATGCCGAGAGGCCCAGTGATTGTCTGATCTGAGGCAGCAAAGAGCCTGCCGGAAGGGCAGGCGGCAGGGAGGGACTCAGGGGAAGGACTGTCCCATTCCCAGGACGGCCACCTGCATGCTGGTAAAGGATACAGCTGGCCCCGACCACCAACCTGTTAGAGAAACGAACACAGCGTGTAAAGTGAGGCCCTTATTGACCAAGCACGGTTGGAGAAGAGCCCTGCAGCCTTCATCCAGGCCCTCTGTCAGCTCGTGAGCTCCGAGGCTGCCGTTCAGACAGCAAAGCCACTTCCCAAGGCTACACTGTCAAGCATGTTGTGAATCAGCAAATCGCCTGGCGGTGAGGAGCGTGTGTGTCAGTGACATGTGGTAGGTGTCCCCTGGAAGGTGCTGGAGGCATGCAGAAACATCCCCCAGAGCGGCACAGGGCTTTCTTTCTCTCCTGTGGGGCCTCCCGGGCCAAGGTGGAAGCCCAGAGAGGGTTGGCAGGACGGGGAGGCCACCAGACCACAAGGGAAGACATCGTCTGATCAGAACAGTCTCAAGGCCATGGAAGGCTTGGCCAGAGGCACATCCAACCCTACCGCAGCTAGGTGCAGGACCAGGAGGGCCAGCTCCCCAGAGCAGGGACCGAAGGGGCCCAGGGACAGGGGAGGCAGCACAGGATGCTGAGATCCAGCAGTCATTGGAAATATTTGCTCCTGCTGTGAAAATCCCCCATTATTCAACTCCACATGGGTTATGCACACACGTACACACACTTGTATGTGCACACCTGCCACACACCTGCATGCACACGTGTCTGCAAATACTCCTGCATGGGCACACACAAATGTACACACACGCACACTCTCACATGGGTACACACATCCATTCATATACACGTACGCACACACTCACGTAGACACATGCATGCACACACATGCAAACGGGCACAGCTCCTAACGTGGAACGAGAACTCCCAGCGGGGCAGCTGCACGTGGGTGGGCTCCCACATCACCCTTCAGTCTTTGAACAAGAGGAGGCGATGTAAGGACGGATAAGCCCAACGTCAGTGCTAATCCCAGCAGGTACTAATGATATAATTCCATTTCAAAACGCAGCGTATCCCTTGGAGTTATTCTGCAGGTGCCCTGCAGGAAGATCTGGCATGCAGCTTCCTCGCAGTGGCTAGGGACAGAACCGCGCCACTGTTAGGATTAGGGTGAGCAGACAGAGCTCTGGTGGCGGGCTGAGCGCAAGATGGTTACACGCCCCACTCAGCAGGTGAGGACAGCGAGGGGAGACCCTGGGACGCCCAGCCGAGCAGGACTGCAGAGATGAATTCCTAGCCCCGCTCAGGGCCAGCAACACCTGAGAAACAGACACCACGGTGTGCGCGCACTTCCAAAATGTGCAAACACACATACTCATCTCTACACGGAGGTGACTTCCAAAATGACAAAACTGAACTCTTTTGGACTTGTTAAAGGCAGTGAAATGTACAAGCTTTTAAGATATGAAGTCGCGGCCGGGCGCGGTGGCTCACGCCTGTAATCCCAGCACTTTGGGAGGTCGAGGCGGGTGGATCACAAGGTCAAGAGATCAAGACCATCTTGGTCAACATGGTGAAACCCCGTCTCTACTAAAAATACAAAAACATTAGCTGGGCATGGTGGCGCGTGCCTGTAATCCCAGCTACTCAGGAGGCTGAGGCAGGAGAATTGCCTGAACCCAGGAGGTGGAGGTTGCGGTGAGCCGAGATCGCGCCATTGCACTCCAGCCTGGGTAACAAGAGCAAAACTCCGTCTCAAAAAAAAAAAAAAAAAAGATATGAAGCCATGAGTTACTGCCAATATAAACAGAAGTCCACTGCTTTGAATATCGTGCCCCAAATGCAAGGGTGAAACCAGGTGAGAGCCCATCCTGTGGTGCCCCCTGCCCCCTGCTCCCAGAGGTGGCCGTGCATGGGCGAGATGCTTCCTGCTGCGCTGTGCAGGCACTAGGGGAGTGAGGCCAATGCATCCCTTCCCTGCGTGTCAGGGCCTTCCTGGCCCTGAGGCCAACCCTCCTCCCGGAATGGGACTGCAGCCGCAGGATGGGGGCCAGGCTGCTCTCCAGGCCTCCTACCTCATTGCCAGGGATCCTGCAACACGCCCTCCTGATTTCGCCACAAATGTTTGCTGTCTCTGCTGCCCACGTGTGCATCCCCACCTCCTACCCGAGGCTGACCCGCCAGGACTGGATGAGGGGGCAGGAGACTCTCTAGGCCCTCCCTTGGAACCCCCCAGTGCCCGGGCCTCCTGTCCTGGCAGCCGGGGGCACAGGAGAAGCTCCCACCTCAAGGGCCATCTTCAAAGTCACAGGTGACCCCATCCCTCAGCTGCCAGCTCTGAATGGCAACTGAGGGCACAGCTGGGAGGAGGTGAGCGCAGTGGACACATTCCCGAGTGGGCATCCTTGACCCTACGTGTTCAGCTGAAATCTCTCAGCGAGAGCTCCCATCTCGCCTGCGTGGAGGGTCATTTTGGGCTTCCTCTTGTCGTCCTGAGCAAAGACTACTGACAGCATTGGTTTTCACTGTACCCTTCCCCCACACTGATCAAATTATGCAAATGTTTACGCTTTGAAGAATGCAGGATATGAGAACTCAGAGAACTCCACTCGGACCAGCTAAAGAAAGAAAATGCCCGAGCGAAATGAGACAAGACACCGAAGCCTCCAGATCACAAGGATAGACAGAACCCAAAGACAGCCACCTGCAGGCCACCCGGGGCCCAACAGGGGTGGGGACAGACAGGACAGTGGAGCGGCGACCAACTCACGCCATGGCTGGACACAGGAGGTGAGACGGGCAGGCCACAGAAGTCAAGGGACTTCACAGACAGCTCACAGGACCTGGGCGTAGGGGCTGGAACCACTCGACTTATCACAACATTAAAAAACCCAAAGGTTGGGTGTGGTGGGTCGTGTGTATAATCCCAGCACTCTGGGAGGCCCGGGTGAACAGACTGCTTGAGCCCAGGAGTTCAAGACCAGCCTGGGCAATACAGCTTGTCCCCATCTCTACAAAATAAAAAAAAATTACTGGGGCATGGTGGTATGCACCTGCAGTCCCAGCTACTCAGGAGGCTGAGGAAGGAGGATCGCCCGAGCCTAGGAGTTTGAGGCTGCAGTGAGCTGCACTCCAGCCTGGGAGACAGAGTGAGACCTGTCTCTAAAACAAACAAAACAAAACAAACAAAACATCAAGTTTCAGTGTGATCCCGGCAGCTCCGCTCTCTGTGCTTTCTGGTGTGCAAACATTTTCTGAGGAGGCGTAATAACTACTGTAGGATTAGCCTAATCACAGGGCAGGCTTTCTTGTTCAAAACTGGAATGGGGGGAGGAAGCAGAAACAAAAGCATTAATTCAGGCCATGAAGCCCAGGCTTAAAGAACAATCCATCTGCCTCTTGAGCTTGAAGGCCCCTGATCCGCTCTCCAGAGGGAATCCTCACACAAAGTGAGAGTCTCACGGGAGGCACCTGGTCTTTTGGCGGTCCTGCCAGCCCAGGAAATGCCAGATGGGCCGCCAAGCTGCGGACGCCCCAGGGAGGCGGCATAGGGCTAGGGGCGCCCCGACGGCCTCCATCCTCGGCTTGCCTGGGACCTCACCAGCCCCACCCAACCCCTCAGGGCCAGATGCTGGGCCAGAGCCCGTCTGCTGGCCCTGTAAAAATGCCACCGGAAGCCCTGCCTTCTCATGACTTAGCCACAGGGATGCACAGAGAGGTGGCGGGGGCTCTGCAGTCTGGGAACAAGCACCAAGAGGACAGCTGGTCTCCCTGTTGCTGAACACAAGGACATCCCATCACACCGGGGAACGGGCCACTTAAATGAAATTTTCTCCCAAACGGCTGTGGTTCTTCCCAAGATAAAATTTATCTTCTTCCTTCTTGGGCTCAGGAAGAGAGAAAAATGATGGCAGTACCTGGCTGGCTTCCGGACTTCCTAAGGGTCAAATGAAAGCTCTTGCCATGACACGCTGACAGGCAGCCTTAAACCAGCCCAAGTTAGAAAAACACTCTGCCTCTCAGAGCCCCAGGAGCGCGCGGACAGACAGCAGCAGGCTGCTGGAGCAGCCTCCCAGGGTGGACAGACCTGGCTGGCTACGCCCCTCCCCCAGGGGCCAGGGTATGGGCTGGCCAGTCCCTCAGCCAGCCTGGCAGCTGCAGGGGAGGCTGGCCCCATGCTCCCTAAACCTCCATGGGGACCCGGGCAGGGGCTGCAGAGCCGGCAGCAGGAACAGGCAGGCCCTGGTTGTTTCCGGGAAGCAGCGCCTCTGTTACCGGACCTGAGAGGAGGCTGCGGTCTCATTCACGCCCTCCGCCCCATCCCAGTGCTGCCAGCTCAGAGCCCCGTAGACACAGCGAGAGGGAGGGCTAGGATAGAGTGACCACAATTCCCTATTTTGGGGTTAGGGCCCCCAAGCTCCAAAACCTGGCACTGAGGGAGAAGACAAAGCCCAGGGCCGCGGGCATGCGGGAGGTGATGGCAAGGCACGCTGGCACGCCCCAGTCCCCGCCGGGCACAGAGGCTGACGGGTGGGGTGTGGCAGGAAGACGGTGGCTGTGGGACGCACTCGGCTCCCGACCCCCACTGCCTCCCTCTGTAAAGGAGCTCCCAGGAGTGGGCTCACTGTCCTCGCCCTCCGCAGTCCTCCCTCTGCTAGGGGCTTGCTCTGCAGAATGGAAGGTCTGCCTTGTGAGGCTGCACGGCACCTCCAAGCCTAGTCATTTGGGGTCTCGTGCCCCTCTGCGCCCCGCCTCCTGCAGTGGCCATTGTTCCCAAAGGGGCTCCACTGCCTGCCCAGGGGATGCCGTCCTTCCCCAGAACCTTCCTCTCTTTGCCCTGTCTTGCACTTCCAGAGCAGGAAAGACACAAGACCAGCAGAAAAGGCAAATGGGCTGGGCACGAGGCAGGCGTCTGCATGGCTGAGGCAGCGCGGGAGCCGACCCGGAGTCCCTCCCAGGGTGGCTCCCAAGGCTGGGAGGACAGCCCTGGCCCTGGGGTATGGCTCTGGGAGTGGGGCAGCCGGAACGTCCCTCACCCCACCCCGGTGCACTCGAGGGTCCTGCTCACCCACCCACAAGCTCACACTGCTTTTTCAGTTTTCCGCACGTCATCACCCT